CCCACCTCCCCACCCACCCATCAATTCTCGTCTGCGTTATCAATCATAAAAGTTTGTCGTACATGTAGTTGTCCCGAGAAGTTCGTACCTTTAGAGAAATGGTAAAACCCCGGTCAGGGGATTCCCCTAAATCTTGTGTGCCTACTGTACTATGTGTACAATAGTATTATATATACGTAGAGAGCCGGTAGTTAAGGCGCATTACCGCGAGATGGCGATCACGTCGTTTTCCCGTTGAAAATAAATTCATTTGCTTGCTTAATTACCGACCGAGTAACGTTCGATCGTCGTGCCTCCTGCGGCCTTTATCGGAAACTAATGACTAACTTTTGAACGATCGGTCGCACCGTTTCGCTACACGTCTGTATATAATAACGTGCGCGTGCGCCTACGCTAGATGTTAGAGCTAGTGTGATACATATACTTACATATACCTAGTAATCGACACGTAAGCTTTAATCCCTGTTCCTGTACCGAGCTTTACGGAGTTTCGGAGAGCGTCGTTAGTGTCGCCATCGTCGCTCTCACGAAACTCCCGCCCATCGTCTTTGCTCCAATCCCGTATCCATCATATCCGCCCAAAGAAAAGGGTGCCTTATCTCGCGCGCAAACACGAATACGTAGTTTACATGAATATGTAATATACAATTATACATCCATATACTCAACCTCCTGACACTTTTTCACCCAGAACAAGAGACCCCGATGCAGAGGTCACTTACTACACTGTATTTTTGCGATGGTCTGCTGCATGCGAGCCCTGCCCGAGTATGACCTGTAAACTATTCTTTTTTTTATTATTATTATTTACCATCTTACTTCTCTTGTTATTGAATCGAACGATCGAGAACGTTTACGCGACGCGCTGCTGGATGATACAAAAAAAAAAGAAAAAAAGAAAGCTGTCATTGAGTATCCCGTTACGTTAGATGACTATGCGAGCTGAGATGTATAAAAAGAAAATTGACACAGTTAGAAGATCGTAGCGCGCGATCACATTACTCTTCAATTGTAAAAAAATGATCGATCCATCTCGACCAATCGGAGTACCGCGGCCACGCTCGGCGTTCTTCTACATCCATACTCGGGCAGTGGCGGAGGGCCGGTGTGACGCTTCTGTCGACGAATTGGCAACCCTGCTCGAGAGACTGACATTGCCTGGACGGGTCCTCTTTTCGTAGCTGGATGATCTACGAACCGAGGTGCAACGCCGGGACCAAGAGATTCTCGCCATGTCAGCCAAGATGAAGACACTCGAGGAACAGCATCAGGACTATCAGAGACATATTGCTGTACTTAAAGAGTCTCTCTGTGCCAAGGAGGAACACTATAATATGCTACAGGCTGACGTGAGTGATTCTTTCTCTTTTTAGGTTATATCAAGTCTGTACGTTGGTATTGTCCTCGGTTTTTCAAATTTTCGTGGTAAATTTTCGTCGAGATTAGTAAGCGTATCGATAGATGGCGCCACTGGTCTCATAGATGGCGGTGCAAGCGTCTTCCCGAAGTTTCGCTTAGCGAAATTTATATATCTTGCTTTTTTTTTCTCTTTATTTTTCGTCAACGATGGAAATCGTCGTTGACTCGTTTCGTCGACAGGTGGATGAAATGAGGCAAAGGCTCGAGGAGAAAAATCGACTGATCGAGAAGAAGACTCAAGCGCTCATGCAGGCGCAACAGGAACGACATCGTATGAACACGGAACTTACCGAACTGAAGGATCATATGGATATTAAGGATCGCAAGATAAACGTTCTGCAGCGTAAGGTGAGTCTCGTTTATATATTTGTTTTTTTTTTCTTTTTGCCAGAAATTCCTGTTTTCTCGTCCGTTTACTCGCGTTGATTGAAACGCGGTAAAAGTGAGTAAAGGTTATAAATTTAAAGGTGCTTTGACTTTGAATGTGTGACGAATATAAAAAATGCGTGCGTGCTATGCGTCACTCTCGACTCTCTTGTATCTTGTTTCCGATCTTCAGCGAAATTAGGTTAATTGTATGCTGTATTAATAATAACTATTATCATAATAATTTGTTATGCCTTTCGCTTAAGTTAATTATTATTATCGTCCATCGTACTTTTTAGTGTCTCCCATATATACCTTTATAAGTTTGTATATTATTCTACGCGTAATAATTTTTCTTTTATTTTTAGCCTAGTTATAATATTATTTTATTATTATATACTTAAGCACTGAATGAAAACGCATTGAATATTTTGTAAAATTTAAGTTAATTTTTGTAAATTTATTCTTAATTCTGTTTGTTTAAATTTTTGTTAATTTCAATATGATTTGTACATTTTTAATCAATAGAACGTATTCCCCGATACGAAAGAACGCATAGGTATTTCCAATTTTAATTTCTTCGTTCGGCAATCGTCCCCAAACAAAACGATCGTCGGCACAGAGAGGAACGTTTGTCATAGAGGGAGAGAAAAATTTTTGACAAAGCCATTGTCAATAGGTACGTAAAATTCTCGAGAGTACAATATAACGTAACGATTTTCTTTTTCTTATTAAATGCAATTTTTCGCTAATAACAGAGATTATTAGTTCTCCCGCGTATTTAATAACAGCATGCGACGTGGTTGAAGCACGCGATAAATAAAAATAATTGCGTGTAACTAAACCGAACCCCCGTATTTAACGAGGGGATATCGTTAATGCAACGAAAGGTCCCCAACCTCATCATGCAATATGATCCTTCGCAGATTGAAAGCCTCGAGGCCCTGCTCAAGGAGAAGGATAATCAAGCAGACATGGCACGGGCCCGTTTGACAGCTATGCAAGCTCACCACTGCAGTAGCGAGGGCGCCTTGAGCAGTCTGGAGGAAGCAATTGGTGACAAGGAAAAACAGATGGCGCAGTTACGAGAGCAACGAGATCGGGCCGAACAAGAGAAACAAGAGGAAAGAGAATTGCACGAGAGAGAACTAGCAGAGTACAAGATGAAGTTGCACGCTTTGGAATCGGAGGTTGGTTTGTTTTAAGCGTGTGTCGATTTTGATATGAAAGTTCTTGGGCCCGCCGAGAGATGGCGCCACCATCTGGTCCGTTAAAAATCCCACCAATCCAAGACTGGCTTTCAGGTGGAAAAACTTGGCGCGCGATTAGAACGTGCCCAAGCCGAAAAAGATCGTCTGGAGTCAAAGCTAGAGAGTTCGCAGTCCGAATTGGGAAAGAGTAAAGCTGAACTGGACAAGGCTGCGTCCGAAGTTGGCCGGAGTGGTGCTGACTGGGAAGCTGCCAAGCAACGACTCACCAGACTGGAACTGGAGAATGAGCGTCTTCGTCATGATCTTGAAAGGTCACAGACCACTTTCGGTCGTAGCACTCTCAATTCGTCCCAGGAAATGGACAGGGTCCAAGAACGTGCTGAGAAGGCTTCTGCTGAACTGAGAAGGGCACAGGCTGAGCTCAGAGTTACACAGGCTGACAACGAGAGGGCACGAGCCGAAGCTACGGCCCTTCAAGAAAAGGTAATTTTTCTTTTGACGTACTGTTGCTTTACTAAGATCTATAGATCGGATGGTCGATGATCAATGGCATATTTGAGACACCATCTCATTGCGGTATTCTTTGTTGACTATCGAAATGCCGTAGCTGAGCTCCCGCCGCAATTCGTCAATTGTTTCCACCCTATTCTTGTCTCCGCCTCCGTTTCACTCACTCCACCACTCATCGACCACGCTGTCCCTCTCGCCCCTTGCCGTACCAACCCCTTTTACTACGACTCCGCATTCTCACTCCTGGCATGACCTGGTTCTCGTGCATTGCACGACCTTGCCCGGATTTCACACCGATTTAGACCACGGATCGAGCGGACGTGATTCTACAGCGTACCATCCGCACGATCGCGTTATACGGCAGTTTTTAACAGTACTTAAAAAGGAAGTTGTTATTATTATAAAAATTTTTCGTTTCGTACAATTTTGAAATATTTATCAAGAAAATGGCACGTTGCGCAAACTACTATCAAACCGCTGCACGTCTTGCTGAGCAGGTATTACGTTCAATTAGTGTACGAGGAAAAGAAAAATGTTTAACGTCGCCGTCGAGTATTAGATTTAATATTTAGTAAAAATAATATAATAATTATTTAATATGCGAATCATTAATGTTATTTAATTAATTATTCACTTGTGTACATTGAATTGTGTTTTGAGTCTAAAGTATTTGTCTTTACCCAGGTCGAGAAGAGTCAGGGTGAAGTATATCGGCTGAAGGCAAGGCTGGAAAATGCTCAGGGTGAGCAGGAGAGTCTACGGGATGAATATGAACGGGCCCAGGCGTCGGTTGCTCGGTTGCACTGTGAACGGGATAAAGCCATAAACGAGCTCGAGAAGGCCCAAGAGGAACTCGAACGTACCCAGGCGACCCTTGGCAAGGCTCAGCTGCAGCAGGACAAAGTTCAGAATCTTCTGGATAAGACCCAGAGCGAGGTGGACAAACTACAGGAGAAGCTGGACAAGTCCCAGGCTGAAATCCGTAGGGTGAGTTACTCTTATTATAATGTGCACGTGACGAAGCGCTGATATATTGACAGTGAGAACGTTGAGTAATAATGTTGATACTTATGCGGTGAATTTAAAAAAATTTCAGATGCAATTGGAACGCGAAAAACAGAATTATGATTTCGATAATGTTCAAAGTCAACTGGATAAGGCCTTGGGACAGGCGGCCAGGATGCAGAAGGAACGTGAAACTATTCAGTTGGAAGTAGATCGTTTGCAGGATAAATATGAGAAGGCACAGGTAAGTGTGAAATGGACTTAATATTATGAAGATACAAATAGAAAAGAATTATTTATTAATTTTGTGGTTCTTATTCGATTAGGTTATCATGCAACGACTTCAGAAGGAAAGAGATAGTTTCCAAGAGGAAATGGAGAAGCTTCATGAGAGAATAGAGTTCGGACAGAATCAAATGGCTAAGTTGCAACGCGAGAAAGAAAATATGGCTTCGGAATTGGAACTTGTTAAGGAACGATGGGAGAAGGTCCATAATGCCCATCAAAAGCTTGCTGTAAGTTTCCAAAATTCTTCTTGACGTACAGTTGTGATTAAATGAAAAATACTTTTTTTTAGCTTGAACGTGACGATGCTCTTACGGAGATCGAAATCCTGAAGGACAAGTTAGAAAAGGCCCAGTACTCGATGAACAAAGCGCACGAGGAACGCGACAATGTGAAGAAGGAGTTCGAAAAGATGTTAGAAAAATATGATAGGTAAATAATATAAAAAAATTTCTTAATAGCGTTCAAAACAATTGTATAAACATTGACAAATGATATTTGTTGACAAAAGGGCTCAAAGCGAAGTGTACCGTCTCCAAAATCGAATCGAGGTAATGGAAGCGGATAAGGATCGTCTGAATTTGGAAGCAGAAAAGCAGCAAATGTTAGCATTGAAGGGTCGCGAGGAAGCACGTAAGGCCCAGGAGGAATTAGCCAGGGTCCAAGAGATGTATGACAGAGCAGCCTTACAGTTGGGTCGTACGAAAGAGCATGAGGAGAAATCCAAAGAGGAACTGGACCGGTTGACAGTCGATTTGGAGATGGTGCGTGAGCGTTACGAGAAGACGCAGATCGAGCTGCGCCGTTTACAAAACGAACGTGAGAAGTTAATAGCTGATAACGAGAGAGTGAGTTTTGAGTTAGAGCGTGCGCACTCTCAGCTAAACAAGGCCCAAGCAGCGACGGAGAAGACGCAGGAGGAATTGGCCAGGATGCAGCTGGAGTTAGAGAAGATGTACGAGAAACACGACAGACAGCAGGCCGAGGTGAGGAAGGCCCAGGCAGAGGCTGAGAGGCTCAGGGTGGAAGCTGAGAGTTCCAGGGAGGAGTGCGAGAGGTATGCCGCCAGGTTCGGAAAATATCAGGAGAGCCAGGAACGTCAGAAGGAGGAGCATGAGAGGGCGAAGATGGAGGTGGAGAGGTTGCGTGACCGACTGGACAAGGCTTTGGCTGAGCTGGACCGCGCTAGGAAGGCTGAGCAAGACGCGTCGAGGCTCCGGGCCGACCTGGAGCGTGCCGAGGGTGTACGAGGTAAATACCAGTTCGAGCAGGAAAAATGGCAAAGCGAGGGTAGTAGGCTCCAGCAGGAGGTGGAGAAGCTCAGGGAGCGGCTAGAGATTCGTGAGACTGAACTCAAGAGGATTCAGTCTAACGAAGAGCAGCTGGAGGCGAAGCTTCACGAATCGCAGCTGCAGCTGGAGAGAGCACGCGAGGAAGTGGCAAAGGCCACAGCTGTGCAGGAAAAGAACAGGGCGGAGATTGAACGAGCAAGAATTGAGACCGAGAAGATACGTGACCGGCACGACAAACTTAAAGCCAGATCTGAGGTTTTAGAAGCAGATAACGAGAAGCTTAGAGTAGAAATTGCACGACTGGAAAGGCTCATGCAGACTGAAGGTAAAACGAGGTCAGAAAGTGCCAGCATTGAAGTGGAGAGACTTCGTGCCAGTCTGGACAAAGCGATAATTGCTAGAGATCAGGTGGAGCTGGAAGCTGGTAGATTAGCTAAGGAGTTGGAGAAGTCACAGATTCTAATAACTAAACAGCAGGAGAATCATGAAGCGGGTAAACGAGAATTAGACAAGATGGCGGCTGAGCTTGCAAGACTTCACGAGGAACGAGACGCATTGAGACAGGAAATAAGAAGAGGGCAGAGCAACGAGGACGTCGCCAGAATTCAGCACGATCTTCAACTGGCACAGCGTGACCGTGACAAGATGGCCGCCATTTTGGAGAACCGGGAAAAGCATTCAGAGAAGATAGAGAAGCTGAAGGAGAAGTTAGAAGCTGAAGCTAAGCAGTTGCAAGTTGAACGTGATCAGGTTGTTATACAATTGGAAAAATCTCAGGACATGTTGATGAACTTCCAGCAGGAATTGAATGCTAGTGAAACCGAGCTCGAGAAACAACGAGAGGAAGTCCGTCGACTTCAGCAGTTGCAGCAGCAGCGTGCGCATGCACAAACGCCAGACAGAGCAGCGAAGGAAGCGCTGGATGCGCAGATGCGAGAAGTACATCGTCTCGCGCAGCAAGTGCAGACACTGACGCAGGCGCAAACAAAGGAACGTCAAAGGGCAGAACAAGCTGAGAAACGTGTCCAGGAGTTGCAGAAACAGCTTGCAGCTGCGCCGTCGGCCGGACAGACAGATGCGCAATTGGAGCAATGGCGGAAGCTTGTCGAAACGGAGAAACAGCGTGCGGACACCGCGGAGAGATCTGCCGCTAATTTGCAGATGCGCATCCAAACGACGGAGAGACAACTTCATGCACAGCAGCAGCAGATTCAGCAGATGCAGACGCAACTGCAACAACAGTCTCAGCAGCAACAGGGTCAACAACAGAACGGACAGGAAGCTGCCAGGCTACGAAAGGAACTTCAGGCAGCTCGTGATGAAGTCAAGCAGGCGGCTGTCGAACGGGAACGCTTCCAGGCGCAGCTTGAGATGCTGTGTCAGGAACTTGAGAAAAATCAGGTTAGGAGCCTGAACGACCGCCTGCCTGTCTGCCTGATCAGCCTGATTTCTGCGCCTCTCTACTGCGCATCACCATATACGCGCACTTGCGCATGCGCGATCAATTGCACTGCGATACCGTTCATGTTTTTATTACTATGTATTATTTCTTTTTGTCCTAAATAAGAACACCTGTCGTTACTTAATCTTTCGATTTATATTATTATAGAAGTCTTAAATACGGAAAGACGATCAATTAAAGTATTAAGTTATCTTTTTATATATTTTGTCATCGTCTTATTTTCTTTAATTTCTTATATCAGAGTCGAGATGCAACGTTACACACGGCATGCACATCGGTGCACATTACATATTCAACCATGCGTTATCTCAAGCGTTATATTTTTGATATATCATATGCGTTACTTTTATTTTATTACCATCATATTGTATATACGTATCTTTATATGTGTGCACTGTGTCAGTGATTATTATTATTGTTTTGCAATGTTTAGCACATACTTTATGTCGAATACGGCTTCATTCTGAAAATATATTTCGTAAGAGAATTATAAGCACCATAGCTTCAACTTTGTTGAAATTATATGATAAACGAAATGACCCTAACTCTTCCTTTCTGCAGGTGGATCTCCACGAGGCGAACAAGAAACTCCAAGCTGGCGCTACGAAAGCCGGCGCGGACGCTAGTCAGGATCGTAAACAGATTGAAGACCAGAGGAAGCAGGTAGAGGAGAGAGCAAGGGCCGTCGAGCAGAAGAGTAAGAGCGTAGAAGAGAAGGAGAGGGCGCTCCAGAATCTTGACCAGGAACTCAAAAAGCGTAAGGCAAAGATGGATCAACTGGAACAGCAACTTCAGCGGGTAAGAAGAGAGGAGGAATAATTCATAGACTCGCTTCCAAGCAAAAATATAATATAGCAGATCATATTCGTTTGCTAAAACATTATCTGGCTTTTAATTTAATACTTGTACCGTGTAAAGTTTCTTGTTTGGTTAAAAGAAACTTATTGAAATGTTGAGCCACACTAATTGTATTTATGTCTATTGCAGAGCGGTGGGTCGCCGGACAAACGGCTTGCGGAGATGCAAAAGGCCTTGGAGAAGGCAGAGAAGGACTTGGAAAAAGCAAAGGAGGACTCGGGAAGAAGTGCTGCCGAAACGGAGAGGCTACTTCATCTAGTGCAAATGTCACAGGAGGAGCAAAACACCAAAGAGAAACAAATCAGAGAACTCCAAGAGTAAGAAAACATTATTATTTTTGCCTTGACCCGTGAATTGTTCGACTAATTAAACAAATGCACTAAAATATACTTTCTTGTTAAATTTAGTGCACTAAAAGCCGCACAAGCCAAGTTGAAACAGGCCGCAACTGCACAACAACAAGAGGTCAGTAAAAAAAAAAAGAGATAAATAATAACGCTTGTAGAATATCAGAAGTAACAATGGCATTGATTATCAAATTACTTAAGTCGCAAGTAATCAAATTTTCTTAAAATTTTTCTCTACTAACCAAATATTTCTTATTTCCACGCTGTCCTGGATTCACACTGAACACACAAAAAAAAAAAACATGAAAAATTGTGTTTGTTTCTTTATTTCCATTTTTTTCATACTACTTTCTGCTCAACTTCATTCTTTTGATATGATAGGCGGGACCCGCCGGATTCCTAAAAAGCTTCTTCTAAGGTCGATTTTCGTTGGGGACGCCTTCTCCGTTCTTTTTAGTACAATTTGCATAAGCGATTTTACGATTAACGTTAAAGCTAACCCAATTAATTCGAAACGACAGACACACGTCAAATAATTATTTTACATAACGCTATACGACCATTGTTAACGTATTAATATTATAATAGCGACGATAATAACGATAACAATAATTGATTAACTGATTAATTAATTAATAGAGCTAACGGCAACAAAGTGAATGAGATATATATACGTGAGAAGGGAAAGAGGCTGACAAAGAAGCAGGAGAGTCGAGAAGGCGTTAGAAAAAAAAGAAATAATGGGCACGTGCGCAAAAGTGACAAAAAAGGAGATATTAAAGGTCAAAAAAAAGATAAATAACAAGAAGACAACAACAATAATAATAATAATGTTAAAAAATAATACGTATGTGTGTATATATACCATTTTCTCTCTCTCTCTCTCTCTCTCTCTATATATATATATATATATATATATATATACACACACAGATATATTGCATATATTTATGCGTACGGATATTAAGTGGAAACGATCGACGTCGTTGATGACGCGTCACCGAAAAAAAATCAGTTTTCACATTTATTCAGTGAAAAAAAAAACGTTTTTTTGGACATGAAAAGAATTCAAAAGAGAAACATGAAAAATTATAAAATGACCATTTACACGTAGAGTGCGCGACCAACGCCTCCTCTTTGGCATTTCTTGTGGGGTGTCTCTGTGTCTTTGCGTTTCTCTGCTTCTTCATCTTTCAGTATCTTGTTTTATTCCTCCCCTTGCCATGAATTACACTGACACACGCCTAGGTGCACGACACGAGGGAAACGGAAGTCAGGGATACGTCGAGGGACACCCAGGAGTCTTTACTCATGGAGATGGAAGCCAAGGACCGTAGAATTCTTGAACTCGAGCGGGAGAAAGGCGACCTGGAGAACTTCCTTAAGGATCATTCTGATACGGACAGCATACTGGAGCTAAAAACTGAACTGGATAGGAGAAACAACCGTGTCGAGGAACTTGAGGATATCATAGCCGAGTTCGAGGACTTCCTAAAGCACAATCCTGATGTGAAAGATTTGCGAGAGCTTAAAGGGGAACTAGATGACAAGGAGCGGGTCATTATTGAACTTGAAGCTTGGATACAGAAGAATGAAGACAGAGACTTTAGGATGAACAAGGCTAGAATCATAGAACTTGAACAGATGGTTATACACCTGGAGGAATATGTGAAGGAGCATAATGTTGATGTACTCAAACAGAAGCTTCAGGATCGCGAGGACAGGCTGGAACAGCTTCAGAGACGAGTAAGTTCACTGGAAAAGGATCTTCTTAGGCAGGAAGAGAAGGTGAAGCATCCTGATGGAAAACAGGATGAAGAAGGAAATAACCTGGAGGAGCAATGTCAAAATGATGACTCCGAAGGAACCTTGAGCTCTTCTAAGCAGGAAATTCAGGAGCGTGACAAGAAAATGCAGGAAATGGAGCACGCCATGTCTGAAAAGGACAACAGGATACGGGAATATGAGCAGGAGGTCTTGGAATGGCAAGAAAAACTCTCCAAAGTTCGAGAGAAGATGACTCACCTAGAAGAGGAACTTGCCGAATACGAGGATCAAGATATTGGTGTTCTGAAGGAAGAGATACGTGTCAGGGATGAAAGGGTGCTTCAGCTTGAGGATGAGATTGATTCTCTGGAGAGAGCTTTTGGTGAGCAAATGGGTCTGGAGCAGATTGAGGAACTTGTGAACGTTGTCAAGGACAAAGAGGAGCGTGAGAGGGAATTGGAGGTGACGCTTCGTGAAAAAAATGAAAGAATTGAGGAACTTACTGCTGCACTACGTGAAAGCGTTGTCATAGCTGGGGAGGGAGAACGTAGACTGAAGCTGGAAGAGAATCTCAAGAACAATGCTCTTGACAAAGTAAGTTCCTTTAAAATTTAATTCAGAAATATTATGTCAGATTAAAATTAGTGGAAGTGTTGAACAATTTCTTGGAACTATTAGAAATCTATACCATATGTTTTTATGAGAAGTAAATGTGTTCATTCACTAGGTTGCGAAGCTAGAGCAGAGGGTAGCCTCTTTGCAAACTGCATCAGCCCTAAAGTGTTCTACGTGTCGACCTCTATTGGCAAGACTGCAAAAATCTGAGAAAAAGTTACAACGGCTTATCGAGGAAAGAATTAGTCATCTTGAGGATCTACATCAGATGAAGTAGGTAGCCTTATCCATGGTGTAGAAGATATCTGTCAAATTTATTATCCCTGTTTCATTTTGTTTTTTTTTTCTAATAGTACAATTATAATAATGAGGCTATCCTTTGCAGGCATGAAGCCTTGGAAGCTGCTGTATCTGAAAAAGATGCCCACCTAGCGTTGCTAGAATTGTCTGGCATAAAAACTTCTGTACAAGCCGAACAAGCTGAGAGGCTCAGGATCGACAGAAGAAGGTTACTAGACAGACTTAAAGAGGAGGTAAGTACACTGGAGAAAATAAATAAAAAATTGGGAATTGAATTAGGACTAAAATCAAAAGATTTGACTTACTAGGATGAGAAAAACATTGAGTTGACAACAGAATCAAACCCATCAAGCCCAGAGACTGTACCGTCTCTTGCAAGAATCCTTCAACCGATAGATGATGAAGATTTTGAAGTTAAGGAAGTTGCACACAATACAGAGTCAGACAAGACAGTAACAACCAATGGAAACACAAGTGACCATGGGTACGTATCGGATTCTTATTGTTACTTTTACTCTCTTTTATTAAAAGAAGCTATTTCAATTTTTATTATGCCGCTCACCCAAGTTTCAATTTCCTGATTATAGTGAGGCACCAGAGAAGAGGACGCTGTCTGCACTACGCTCGGCAAACCACGACCAATAACAGCAAAGCAGATAAGTACCCGAGACCAGTACGGTATTACAGTAAAGCGTTCGTTTCCTCGATGTTGTCATGTGCACCACAGTCATAGATGAGCATCCAGAGCATAACCTAGAACGTAGAAAAAACAGTAAATCCAGATCGTCTTTCATTCCGCGACATCAAGCATCTGCCCAATCATCATATCTCTTCACAACTTCACTCTTCACAATTTGTTATCAGCCACCACTAGCATCACCACCACTACCACCACCATCATCATCATCATCGTCATCATCATCATCATTATTGTTATTATTATTATCATCATAATAATTACCAAACGACTATACAAAAAAAAAAAAAATATCACTATCACCTCAATCATAGCTATCGTGAAATCGCACGATCCCGCGACCACCGGGAGAGAGAGCAGTACGCGCATGCGCGTAAGCATCATTGGTATACGCACATGCGCAGAATGAGAACGACGCGCGCAGAATAAACAAAATCATAGGGGAATACCCTAATTCGGGAGAAATTGTACATACTCTACGAAACATGTATCGTAATAATTGGTTTTTGAGAACTTTAAACGGGTAAAGAAGTTCCAGGCACGATTTCGGCTTCAGTATAAAAACGCTTGTGTTTTGCAGTGAATTGCACAACAGCCGGATAATAATATTTACCGAAAAAGATGCAAAGTACAGTTTGAAATATAAAAATGACGTTCGCGAATTGTATACGACGCGAAGGAAGGTAAGCAGATTCGCAATGGAATGTAAATAGCACATGCCGGAAATAGCTGCTGATCAATGTAATCTGTAATAACTAATAGGCACGATTGAACCGCAGTCGGATTATTCTCGTGATTAATAATTTAGCCCAAATATAATACAGTAATTACGTGTCAAGGAGAACCAAAAGAAAAATGAAAGCAAAACGAAAAAAGTCATAATTACCAAAGAGACTAATTAGTGGACGAGATCGTTTCCTCGACGTCGATACTAGGCACCAAAGATATCATCCACTGTATGTATGTATTCACTGTTTTCTTTGTCGATGTCATTGTCGTTACTAAATTGCATTGTTGTGATACTTTTGAAAATGCGTTTTATGCAATTTTTATTTTCAAAAGTACAAAAACGACGTCGAACGAACGAATCTCTTGTCCCATCGAAATCTATCAGCGAATTACTCCATAGAAATGTCCTATCTAAATCAGCTGCAATCAGCGTGATGCCAATCAAAGTCGATCGCTTATATTAATCATCCACCGTCACTTTACAAAAATAGCTTCGTCTCTTACTAATTAGAATAAACCAATCACCGATCGATTACACGAAACATTACGGTATTTTTTTCCGATTATTCGCGTTAAGTCCGTCAGTTTCTTCATACCTGTCCTTAGGCGATTAATAATGACTAACCTATTGGGAGTAAATGTCTGTAGGGATAATAATGCGATAAAAAGAAACGTTAACTTAACAGTATAAACAGTGAGCGAAGTATGGGAGAGCAGAGAGACAAGTAGAAAAACGAGATGTGAAACGACGTAGAAACGTATTTTTTTGGATTTCTCATCACGGGTCCAAAAGGTTGTCAGTGTATTTATTAGCTCGTTAATCCTAAAACCAAAGAAACCAAAGATAAAATAATACAAAAAAAAATGCAAGGAAAATATATGAAATTTACAAATTGTAAGCAATACTCTCTGGTACGTAACAGCGCATTGATGCAATTGTAATTGAACAAAAAAAAAATTGTCCAAGGCTTGTGCGTGTTAAAAAAATAAGAAAAAAAAAACGAAAAAGTATAAGGAAACACGCGAGAAAGGAATTCCAAAAGTGTAGATGAAGAGTGATATAGAAAAATAATACAAAAATATGATACGTATTGATATGTATTAGCCTGAGATATATGATACGACGGAATTTAACGTGAAATTTGTAAAATGGCATTAATGTTATAGACTGCTCTATTAAGATTACAAAGAGGAAAAGAAGGCGGTAGTGAAGATATTGATATCATTTTGCGCGTGGACTTTTTACTTTTTCTTGCTTACGTCATTGTTCTACTCACCTCATTTTTTAATTAACGATGACAATAAAACAACCGTTAGCGCGAATTCGCGAGCAGGGATTCACGGCGTCGTAACGAGAATTAGACGATCAATGAGAATCGTGACGTAATTGCGTCTGGGTTCGCGAAAAAATTTAGCATCGTGCAAAACAATGGAGGAGTAAACGAAAAATCAAAGGATAATAGGGCCCGGGAGGTTGTAAGATAAGATGTTATTATCACGCATATTTAACCTTACTTTAAACGCGTAATGATTTTCTTCGTTACACTTTAATCATTTGTCTCCATTGTGTTCATGTAAATAACGTTACTGACGATAACGATTATTTTTTTATTAATAACGTACATCTTATACCACAAACTTTGAGAAGCTTCGTTAATTTGAAGCCGGGCCGTACGAGGTGAACGTTAGTTCCTATCCGGTGGCGCTAGTGGTACTCACAGTTTTCGCAAGCGTCCGCCAGATGTCTATGGAAGCGAATGAGATTAAATCGTGTTAGTCAATCGTGTAATAACGGGAGGAAAAGAAAATTATAACGAATGACGTAACTCGTCGGATCCGCGCATAATGGAAATATACAAAATGACGCGTAAATTTGATTCATCGTCGCTGTGCCGTCTGCGTATATTATATTATTAAAAAAATTAAAGATAAACGGCACCGCGACCAAAACTCGCGACTTAGGTTAATTATAGTTAGCGTTTTAGCCACCACACATCATATCAAGCCTATATTATCGTGTTACGTTATAGCTAAGCAGAATGTGAATTATCGTCGTTGAAGTGAATTTATTGTTAATCAGAGGTGACTGTTTCTTCGTCGAGAGCACGTGTTCCCTGCATCTTTTTGACGATGCTCTGTAGCCCGTTAGTAAGATGAAAAGGAGGTGGAAAAAAAAAGTAACATTTAAAATTACGTCTGTGTGTGTAAGAGTGTTACGTTACGTTTGTAAATCGGCGAATGGAACCAAAGATAGAAAAAAAAAACAAATATGCCGAATTATAAGAGGCTTCAGGCTACGTGCGGTATCGTAAAGAGTACAGACTAGTACGTATATATATCTATGAAAAAAAAAGTAGTATGGAAACGAATTTCTTGTTGACACATATAGATGAATGACTACTTGTAATTATCATATTCTAGCTGATTCCAAGTTGTAAGGTGCACCCGTGTTATAGAAAAGAGAAAAGAGGTTATGGCTCGCGTTGACGTTGACATTTTTCCTAACGTACCTAAAACTATAATTAAATATATATATATATATATATATATATATACACACATATTATATATTTACGATACTGCAATTTCTTTGAGGTACAATTATCCTTCTTTCTATAGTCCTATATGTATATATTTCTTTTATATAAGTTATCTCTTCTTTCGTCTCATTCGTCGCCGCGACGCGAGCGCTGTGTTAATTACAATGTAATTCTAATGGACGCGCGAGCACGCTGAGAGACTGTCTTCATTATTTTTTGACTTGACTGTTTAGCGTTTACGATGCGATGTTTTTTATGTGAATATTTAAAATGGCAATCGCGCACAGCTTCACCTGTTAGATCCTCGGTACTTGTCGACAATACAGACCCAAGCTGCTAAATGAGTTCGCGTCTCTTCCAAATCCTCTTGAAAAGGAAGAATTTTAAATTTCCCGCTCTTACTCAACGGTCGTCGTAACGGCACAATACAGTAGCGACATCTTGCGGTTAACCACGAAGGTACTCATGTCTGATAAACGGTACCGAGTATTTTATTGGCTGTTGCGATCGCTTGAAAAACGTGGCTCCGCTCTTAACTCCACCCTTAACCCCTTCCCACAATTAAACCATTGGAACATAATCGAATTCCTAACCTATAAACTCATTACGAACATCTCCTTTCACTCTTTTTCGATATTTGCACATGTCACGGCCACTCCATACCCCACACTTTTTTATTCTGCATTTCTACGTGTTATCGCTAAATATGCCATAAGTATTCAAAGGTACGTACATTTAACATTTACCGTAAAACGGAAAGATTCGACGAGTTTAAGAAGATATATTAAAAAAGAAAAAAATAATTACGCAATACGACTTTGACTCGCGTGTATATATACCTAAAAAAGTATTCGCCTATTTCTACGATATTTGAAGTTAGCGCCCACGGTCACGTGACCACGAAGAGAGGAAGGCCGATGATGAAAACTCTACGAGATGGAGTCAGATATTAGAAAGCAAAGACATAATGGAAAGAGTGCTCTAGAAGTAAGCCAGTTACGAAGTAAACTAAAGACAAAAATTTAAGGTACGTTTAAAAAAAAATGAATGAACGGTACCAAAAATCGATTGCGTGTAGCGTAAGACGGAGGAAAGCGTTTATAAGGAAGTAAACATTGTTGCAACTGCCATGCTGTGTGCCATTATATTAAACGAGCGACGTTTATCCTAAAAATTGAAACAAAAATATAAAAATTGAAAAAAAAAAGCGTGAGCGAGGGGAATGTAATACAAGGCGAGGAGTAAATTAATCGCGTACGTAATAACGCAATGCGAAAACTGATAGAGGGAGTGATAAACCAAATTGAGCCACGATGGGATTTAATCGTTGAGAAACAACGTTTATCTTACTTTTCGTCTGTCCGAAACTTCTAATAGAATACTGTTAAGCCAGCGAGGAGTGTACCTCGCCGACGCGCGCACGCGCATGCGCATTCAGCTGTTTGTTCGCGGCCATATTTAATGCCTATTCGCATCCTGTCGATTATATCATATCCACATAGGAACGTTGAGTCGCGTGCGCACGTCGCGATGTCAATTTGTTGAAGGACGAAGATCATGTGTATATCTTATTAATACCTAGTTATCATGTAAGTGATACGAGTGCGTCTCATTCCTCGTTAAAATATGTATATACGTACATGTCGCGCACGCGCAGTCGTGCACCCAATTATGTATATTGGAGCCACTGGTGAGAATCTGCGATTTTATATAGTTCCGAAAGTGGCCACGCGAGGGCAGCCCAAGCCGAAATGTTTGAAAACTCGCTACGGTCGGATTATTCACTTTGTCTTCGCTGTGACTGGATTACTGATGTCACGACATATTCTTCTTACAATTTTTTTCCCCGTGTCATTTATTATGCCAATTCCTGGCGACTTTTTTTCTTTTTTCAAATTTATTTCGGTCGTAGTATAGATTTCTTATTGCATGCAAGCTTCGGCGAACTTTCGGGACCGTATCCTGTCTGCGAATTGAGAGACTCTTTCCGTAGAAATATAGTCCAAATTAGTTGAACAGTCCGACGGTGTGAAGTATTTAAACGAAACACAAAAAAAAAAGAAAATAAACGATTAATTAAATTAATAAATTGATCCATCATAGTTTCAAGCACAATAAGGACTAGTAGGGCCAGGCACAATAAAATTCGGCCGACACGTTGTAGGATGCGATTCTGTTAGTGCGACAAGTCATATAAGTACCTATATAGCGAGGATAATGAATAAACATATATTGTCTATTGTCAAAAAAAAAAAAAAGAAAGAAAAACGGTCTATTCATTGTTCGCTTAATAAAACCCGCTATTTATCCCGAGATTTTGTATTTATCTTGTTATTTACATCCTTTTCCTATGGCTCTATCCCGAATGAGGTACTGGACGGTATCTTCTCACGTCATAACAGTCTTAATGGAATGAGACATGATGATTTTGTCTTTGGAAATATGCTGTTGGCATATTTCTGTTTATAAGACCCCCGAAGGATGAAGGAGATAGTTACAGCCTAAGACTGGTCTGACCTACTCCCACGGGCATTGGTCTAATCAACTTCTAAATTTTTGGCAGAACTAATGATCATTAAACCTTTTTAACTAAGATGTTCGAAACCACAAACTATTTGTCCGCCCAATCAGGTAAGTTTATAATGCACACAAATTATTGGAATTTAAACATTTTTTTATCCTGTATAGATGGCAGTACTCGCTGAGGAGTTCCCAAAAGGTGTGACAGATGTATAAAGACCTAACAAGACTCGGAGCTCTCATTCTTCCCAGTGCCGGTCTCCTATACTTGTCTATAGGATTTCTGTGTGCTATTCAATTCTTCTTTTTTGTTTTTCTATTTTCTCTTCTCCTTTCATTATACCTCATTTCATTAATTCTTCTTTGTCCTTCTATTCTTACTTACTTTTCTTTCCTATCTCTTTACTACTCGCTTTCTTTCATTCTTTCCTTATATTCTTCTTTATTTGCTTCCTCACGTTGCATTAGAACTCTCTTTTGGCATTTTCATCCAACAATTTCATCTCGGCACATATCCTGTTGCAGCGTTTACAAACCAGCTCAGCCACAGAGAAGAGTAGGGAGATGCACAACGTTACTGTTTTAGGCGATATGAAACTCATGGCGCTAAATAGTAATGGCGAGTCTGGAAGTAGGATTTTGTGATCTTCGCCTCAGTCGATAAAGCATCGTAGCCGTGCTAAACGTGAACACGAACACGTAGCAAAGTAACCCTTAGAACGAGAACGGGAACTATAGAAATTCTAGAGGACTACTGAAAAAGCCTATTGTTGAAACATTTTTAAGACATTTTTAAGAAAGTGCGGTGCCAACTTAACACCCGAGTAGCACTTCAGTTTTTACAAAATATTATTGGATCTTGATTTACTTTCAAAGTTTATTCAAAATATAAA